CCGGATCGCGATTAACGTGGTCCTGTCCTTCTTCATCCAGTCTTCTAGAGCCTTCTTTTCTTCTGTGGTCGGTGCCTTGGCGTCCTTTGCCGTCGGCTTGCCTTCTTCGATGACGTAGTCCCATAACCCTAACCCGTACAGCAGATCCTCCATCTGGACTCTCCAAGAGGGCCAATCCTCTACCCCGGTGAGAGGATCGATCCGGATCCTGCTGATGGCGTCAGCGGTTGACGTCGCCATGTGTTGTGACCGATAAGATAAGATATAGCAGCGGTAAGCGTAGTAATTCTCAGTTAGAGCTAAGCAGGGCTCATAACCTGTTAGAGTTCACACGAGAGAGAGAAGCTGAGAAGCAGGGAAGGATGATGATCGAGGGAAAAGAAGCCGTAGCTTATATACATGATGTAGACTAGCAAAGCGTAGAGTAGAGGATCCGCATAATAGAGAAGACGCTTGACAGCCTGTCAAGCGCGTGACAAAGGGTATAAAGACAGCGTGCCCGCAATATTCCAACAGGTACCTGGTCTGTGCACCACTGTAATTGTATAAATAGTAGGGGGTCTGAGGCAGAGAACCTCAGACTTGATCTTCTCGTCGATCACCCATCTCCTCTGTAGATAGCTAGCAGCCCTACCTTCTATTGCCCCTTCTAGTCTAGGGAATCTACACCTTTACCTCATCTCTTGCTGTGTCACCTGGAGTTGCTTCGCTCCTCAGCACCAACCCCATCACCAGTAAGCTTGTCTTTGTTTGTCTGGTGGCACAGCTCGTTGGCTGTGACATTAGATCAAGTCTCTTACCCATCCCCTCCATGGAGTGTCTCAACCACTTGTGGACCGGATCTCTTCCCCCAGGAATTTTTGGAAACATTTATCATCCCCCCCCACTATCCTTCCATCTGACTCGGACCTACCGGAGTTTACCTGTCATCACTTCAAGAGACACGGTCACCTCGACATCCAGTCCCAGATTGACCACACCCTTGCCGACGATACATCAGATCATCTTCCTCACCGTCGTCAGTATTGGCATACCCCTATTGTCCCTCGTCGCAAGGTCCTCCCCCCATCTATACCCTCGTCCCAACCTCTCGACAGACCGCTCGCGGCACGTCTCACCACGCCCCCACCTGTCCTTCTCCCTTCAATCCCTACGATCCCTCTCCAGTGCTGTATAGCTGCACCACCCCTCCCCTCCTTTGCACATCGCGATCCTATTGATCTCATCACCATCATCGGTTCCAAGGTCAACGCCATCATTAAAAGACTGCAGGCCATCTTCGATCACAAGGACCAGTTGCTTGACATCCCCCACAACCATCAGCTTGCTCTTCAACGCATCAGCGACAGGCTCGAGTGGATACTCGACAACATTGAGAACGGCTCCTCGTGGACTCGCAGCCAACAACAAAACATCGACTGGTTTTGCAAGGAGTTTGGAAAGGTCAAGTTTAGTGGACTTGGGCAGAACTTCGAGCATATTGTCAAAGCTCTAGTAGAGTTAGAACATTTTGGGTATCTGGATTGGATCGTTGTTTAGTTCTGTATCAGGCATAGTTTTCTACCAATGGCTTCAGGCTTGCGTTACGCCCCTCTGGCAGAGGATGACTTTGAGTCAGATGACCTGGGTCTACACACACACCCAGCTCCGTCACAGGCACACACCTGTCCGGCTTCGCCTACTGCTACGCTTCAAGTGTACCCGCAAATTCAATGGATCTACGCTGGTGTCGAGTACGGCTCGTTAGAAGACGCTATTCGTGCCTCGGAAAACAGTTTAGGGATCACCAACCAAGCTTACGTCAACTGGACCATCTCTGTAACAAGGGACATCACACGGCGCGAAGTGGTCAATGTCTACAATGTCCTCGGCAACAAGATCTACAAACACCAGAACAATTTTCTTAAGGAACGTGATGCCACCCAAACCACTTTTGAAACCCTGGACAGCTCAATGGTAGGCCTTCACACCAAGGCTGACACTGCTGGAAACCTCGCGCTCAAGGCTGTCGAAGAGAACAAACAGCTGAAGACGGAACTGGTCACTGTCAGTGCGAATCTGGAGGTTCTCAACTGGAACAACACGGAGCTCGTCAAACGGTAAAAGGAACTCGCAGGCCAAGTTTACACAGTTGGAGCAAGGCTTGTCAAACCGCACCACGTTTGGTAACCCTACCACCCCGGCCCCTGTTGTATCCCAGGCTTCGCGTATCAAGGCGTCAGAACCACCCAAGTACAAGGGCAACAAAGGCTCGGACATCACTCTCGAACAATGGTTACAGAAGATGGGCCTTTGGTTCCGTGTTCAGAATATCACCACGGACGATGACAAGATTACCCTGGCCCTCATGTACTTGGAAGGCGGCGCGCACGACTACGTCGAGGACTACGTCGAGACAGCATCGAACGGTGGAACCCTTGGATCCTGGACCGACTTCATCAACCGACTCAAGGCAGGCTATCGTCAACTGGCTCCCGAGAAGACCGCGCAAACATCCCTCGAGGAGTGGTGCTCAAAATCTCACTCCACGGTCATTCAGTTCGCCGAGAACTTCCGCCGCTACGCATCGAAGTCTGGTTACGCTGATGTAGAACTCATCCGACGCATCGACAACCAGGTCGGCAAGAACTCGCAGATCCTTACGGTTATGACGGCAATGCGGCAAGTCAACCCGATGCTGATCCCGACGAAATGGGAGCACTATCTGGACTGGGTACTGAAGCTGGAAATGGAAACTCGGGGAAATCAGGCCAAGTCGTCTTCGCAGCAACACACGACCAGTCGCCCCCACGGGACCCCAATGCCATGGATGTCGACGCAATGCGCAAGCCGGAGAAGCTCTCCAAGGAACAACTCGAATGGCT